ATAATAAAAACAGATATATATTTCTATTTCGATCGGATCATCAATGTTAATTGAAAATATTTAATTTAATACAATAATAGTCAGTTATTTAAAATTAGACATTACTTATAAATTTTGAAATTTCGAAATTACAGATGTTAGATGTCCGTGGTAGAATCAGAAATAGGACGACTTAGTAAGAATTCATTATAATGGTAGATTTTCATTACCGTGACGAGTACCATTAGAGACATTATATTTATAAAATTTTTTAAAAATGTAGTCACATAAATATATAATATATAAATTGCTGTGTCATATAATGTATAATTAATTGTCAATTTTTTAAAATAACGTAGTTGAAAACAATAAATGAAAACAATAAATTATTCATCTATTCAATATACCTTGAAATGTGAATCAAGCAAATTAATATAATCAATCCAATGTTGTGTGTGAGTCAGTATGAAGAAATATTTCTTTATATGTATAAAAAGACACAAGTAATGAGAGATATACAGGATGTCTCGAATTTAAATGTCTAAACTTCAGGAACGTGTAAAGAATCGATAAATTAAGAAAAAAAATCCTGTAGAGATATGCTCGTTTTTGTTTCGTTTTGGAGAAAATCGCAAAAAAAAAAAAACGTAGTTGCTTCGTTCTCGTACTGCTTTTGAATAAGTAGGCATTTATTAGTCAAATAATGACTAATACTTTGTAATAATCCATCAGCGTTAGTAAGAGACAGTGATGAAATCTTTGTCTATAAAGTTTATTGTTGAAGAAAAAGAATGTAGAATTTAGAACAGTTCTAAATCTTTACATTCTTTTTCTTCAACAATAAATTTTATAAACAAAGATTTGGTACTTTAATGGGTTCACTACTGGGTCTCCTACTAACGCTGATATTGTATTACAAGATCTGGAAGAACTTTCTATCAAACTACCTGTGGAATTGCTATTTTATTTTCGATATATGAACGACATTGTTTTAGCGATTCCATCTGATAGTATCAATGACATACTTAACATTTTTTAATTCGTTACACATGAGATTACAATCCATTAAATAGGTGACAATGGAAAATTAAATTTTCTTGATACAACTATTATTATAGAAAATTAGACTACCATTTTCAACACGTATCAGCTGATATGTTTTTACCAGTTTTATATTTTTACAAGTAATTATATTTTTTACAAGTGTTTTTTGCGGTCGCAATTATTTTTGTTTACCTTAGAGTATCCATAATCATTGTGAACAAGACAAACTTGCCAAGCAAAGGTACTACCAGCGATGTAGGCGGTATTATTTCAGCTAATAAAAGGAAAAATACTGTCAGCGACAGTAGTATAGAGATGGCGAGGCTGACCTAGAATAAGAAAAAGAAATTTTGACCTTAGAATGCATTATATATTTAATATTATTCTGAACAAATCACATATAATCACATTTCAATTTGCAATTATGATATTTAATATTATTTGTAACAAAACAAAGATCTTAAATAAAAATTAATAATTTCGTTGG